CATTATTATAGTTCAACTCTAACTGGTTTTTCATGTTCCTGAATGTCAATTTCGCCACAATCAACGATGACTACATCTTCATTCGGTCGATCATTGCTTCCTTTTTCGGCGTCTTCAATCTGACGTACGACATCCATTCCTTCTAATACATAACCAAAAACCACATGACGACCATCAAGCCAAGTAGTTTTAGCAGTGCAAATAAAAAACTACATATCACGTGAAATTTAACAAATTGTCAACAAATGATTAATGTAAGTTATATTATATTAACATAGAAATAAGAATAATTGTAAACTTGCGTACCTGAGAACCATTCGTGTCGACACCGGCATTAGCCATACTCACAACACCGGGACCTGTGTGACGAAGTTTGAAATTTTCATCGGGAAATCGATCCCCGTAAATAGACTTTCCACCAGTTCCATCACCTTTAGTAAAATCTCCACCTTGGATCATGAAATCCTATCGATAATACAGAAATGTAAAGATTCCAATATCAAACATTCAAAATTATACTATTCTAATACCCACCTTAATCACACGATGGAATCTTGATCCCTTGTATCCGAAACCTTTTTCACCGGTAGCTAATGCACGAAAATTTTCAACCGTTTTTGGTACAGTCTAAAATTGCGTAATTGACTAATTTAGCATAAAATATCGATGAATTTTAATAATTTATTACATACTTTGCCATATAATCCTATAACTACACGACCTAACTCCTTATCACCATGCTTAATGTCAAAATACACTGGATTTTGTGATAAAAATTCATTAGGTGAGCATCTTGAGTATAATTTGTTAAATATTAGATATTGCGTTACCTTTATTAGTGATAATGGGCCCTTTTGCTGCTGTTACAACTGTCAGTAAGAATAAGAAAATATTAAATAACGACAATAAGCCGAATCGGCTGAAACGAGATGCCATTTTACAAAAGAAAAAAAAAGGGACACTTGGTCTAAATTTACAATTACATACGTACATACATATACTCCTTTGACAGAATTTCGATAATCATAAGATTTAACCAAATTTAATAATGATCGTAGCCATATAGAAACCAATCTTTATAAGATCTACCGGGCTAATTAATGTTTTTACGTACGAAATATTAGTCAAGTCGTAGCGATTTTTAGAAAAACTTGTCATAATTTTAGTGTACCTAGCAAAAAAACAATGGAGCACGTGACTGACTGAACTTAAATTTAAGAATGTTATTACCAAATATAGGGGTAGTCTAAAGCGCATTTACTAATTTCCCCCCAGGTTTTCTATTGGTCGTTGTAGATCCCATCTCTGATTGGCCGACTACATTAATGTTTATCATTATCAAAAATAAAAATTTTTAAAATTTGAGCTAAGATATCTTGACAAGCACCTAACCAAATTCGACAAACTTTTTTTTATTTGAATTCTATGAATTCATAGAATTCAAATAAAAAAAAAGATCATCAAATTTAGTTAGGTAGTTGTCGAGATATCTTCGCTCAAATTTAGAGAAAAATCAAAACGTCTATCAAACGTCAGTTTTTTTAAAAAATTTGAACGAAGATATCTCGACAACCACGCATATACTAATTCCCCCAGGTTTTATATTGGTCATAGGTATATCGCATCTCTGATTGGCCAAAATCTTTATCACATGATACTATTTTTGCTAAACATAACTTCACGCGTAATAAAAAATATTTCGCGCAAGATAGTGTCATGCAATTTCACACGATTTATGCGATAAAAACTTTATATTGGATTTACCCGAGTGCATCTCTATAAATACTCAAATATAATCCTTATTAATATTCGCATTTGATAAATCATTGATAATTATAATAATAATAATTTTCCTAATTTATCTCATGAGGGTGCGATAATAATTTTTTATCTCAAACGGATGCGATAATTTCACTTTGTACAAAAAATGCAATTAGTATACGTAGGCATAAAATACGAATTTATTAAATTATAATAATTTTAATAAGTATTTTGCAAATTTAAAAAAAAAAAAAAAATTCTTGAATAAATTACGATCATTTAACTATTCGAATTGCTAAAAATGATGAGTGCCCAGAGCCATGATATGAAAAACATTATCTCCACTTCCGCCCAAGAACTAAAGATCAACTGAAACATGCATAAATGGTATCTAAATTTGGAAAAATTGCTGAGGCTCAATGCGGTTTTAGAGGTTGCATATTATAGTAATAATTGTGACAGATTAAATAAAACCAGATTAAAATGAAATATCTATAATGTATAAAAATTGACGAGCCACCGAAAAATAAAATTT